AAAAAAAAAAAAGTGTTGATAACAAAGACCACAACAAAGTTTACACTGTACTTACTTCAAGTTGCAGAATTTGCAAACCTCTTATAAATGAATAGAAAATTAAACAGCTTACATAATATTAAGGTTGATCATTTTCTGAAGCACCTCATTTTACTGATAATTTGTTGAAAAAGACAAATATATATATATTTGTTTGAAGAGACCCATTGTCGTTCTTTATATTTCATTGTTTAGGCTGCTTATGAAAATATGATAAAGTTTTATGTTTTTATAACAAGAATTACATAGAGAATAGAGTGTGTTTTAGAGTAATATAATTTCTTCATGTAATTATAATACAATTTTTTGCCTACTCAGTTGTTTCCCCATACACAGCTTACTGTTACATGTTAAACTTGATCAAAAGAAGACAAAGCGGAAAAATTAGATGATTGCTAACTTTTATGACACTACAAAGCGTCATTACTGATTTACTTAAAAGCTTGTGAAGATTGTTTTTTTTATTTAGAATTAATCAAACAATCATATATTATAATAGAAGCAACGTTCACTTTGAAGAAACACAGTGAATGAAGAGTTAAAGTTTGGCCCTGTCTTGAACTAGTTTCGCATCAACACCACAGTTCAGGTAACTTACTGTTCCAGTGCTTTTCAAAGTGAACACAGTGTCACACCAGGCACCTTTCTGCCCTTTCATCTTGACATCAGTGACTTTAAACTTCTCATACGGAGGAATCAGCACCTCTTCCTGGTCAGGATACTTTGAGTATTTTATCACAGAAACACCTTCACAAGTTTTGATTTCAAAACAAGATCTAGGTCCGAAACCACTTGCTACTGCTTGATCAAATGAGGAGGACGTAAATGAGCCGAAACGAATCTCTTTGTTCAGAACATCCTTAGCAAATTCAGCTGTAGTACCACGATACGTTGAATAGCATTTAGTTTGTGTTTTCTTCAGAATCTTTGTTGCATCTGTTAGCAAAAAGTGAAGTGAATACCATGTGAATGTCTTGTCTTTGTATTTTTGTTTCTCACCACGGACAGCGTTATTGAAACTACGATATACATCAGAAATATTGTTAGTGTACACATAAATGGCAACTGAATGAATCTGTTTCAAATTATCCTCTGGATTCTTGGCTTTATTTTCACCATCATGCCAAGTGTTATTAAATTCAGCTGAGTTACTGATTTCCGTCTTCAGATACTTTGTTTTCACCAAGTCTGCCATTTTCTCTGAGCAGCCCTCATATTGGTCATCAACAGAATTTGGTGCCATATCCAATGGATATATCTTTCTTGCAGCACCAGCAGCTCTGTGATCCTGCAGCAACAGGAATCATGACGATCAATCATCAGTATTCATGTCTGTAATATTCAT